AAAAAAAACACCCACTTCAACTTCAACTCCTTGTTGATTTCTGTCACAGAACTCTCGAGATCCTGTCGTTCTTGGGAATGCACCAATGCAGAATCGTGCAGTTCATTTCTAGCCTAAACCTTTTTGCATTATTCACAGAAGACAAGTGAGATTGAAGGTTTTTATTCCACCTTTTGTAACTTCAAGTGTAATTTTCGAAGTTTCCGGGTTTTCGCCTCAACTTCCTGCTGTAAACTTGAGTAGGTTTGATGGATTTCTGCAGTATCATCTTCTTGTCGCTCCAGTTGTTGCAAAATCTCACGCTCGCGTTTCTGTAAAAAAAATTTTGACGTTGACATTAGTTTGCAAACAATGTAGACATGATATGTAATGTACACTCTTTTTTGAACAATCGATTATCAAAAATAGACAAAGCTTTCCAATGACGCCTATTTGACAATTCCCTTTAGCAATAACTTATCGAAGAAGATTTAATTCCTCAAACCTTCTGTTCAGCCAGCTCTCGTCTTCGATTTGCTAGCTCAACTTCTTGCTGTTTGGTGTGATCCAAAAGATCTGTACCACCTAACAACTTGCTCTCCATTTTTGCTATCGTCTCAGCCACCTCGCGCTGAGCAGCTTGTTCTCGTTCCAATTGCCGTTGGCGTTCTTCTAGGTCCGCAATAATGCGTTTTCGCTCCTGAGTAATATTATGGGGTTAGTGAGAAATTAAAAGTATAAAAACAAAGATATTAAAGATAAGCTTTCCCCTTCAAATTTCTAGTCAATTCACTTATTTATTAGAAGTATTTGAATTGCAGAAAGCGCAATAAAAAGGTATTTTTTAGCACTTGAGTGTTGTGCATTTGCACTGATACACTGAGCTAGAAAAAAAAGAAACAGAAATAATTATTTGGTATTTCGTTGCACCCGTTGTAGCTCTTTGAATTCCTCGTTTTAAGCATAAGCCTTTTGTCTTCAGTGGGCGATATGCACTTTAATATAGACGGTGTCATCTACCTACTGGATAGGAAATGAGGAATAAATGACTGGCTTAATTATAGTTAAATCTTTGTTATCTAATCCACAAAAAGTAAATTAAGTGGTTAGGTGGTGACTCATAGAATTCATATCATACCTCCATTATAAGTGTATTATCACGCATTGCATGTTCCCTATCGGCAGCTAATTTCATGTGTTGTTCGCGGAAGTACTCATCACCTCGAGACTCATCCATTTCTACAAAGCAAGGTGTTTAAGTATGTTAAAGCTACATTACAATATCCAAGCTGTACTTACCACCTCGACCCTTTCGTCGCGAACGTTTCTCCAGCAAAGCCCGTAATCGCTGGATTTCATCCTAGAAAAAGCAGGAAATAATCTGGAAAGTTGGTAAGAAATATGTGGTGAGACGCGATATTTGAAATCAGCACTAATATCTCTTTCTACGCAGCAATATTCCGTTTCCGAAAAATGCAAAATCGTAATCAGACGAGTTTTTTAAAAGTATATTTTCTACGTGGGTAGGGGAAGTAAGTGAACTCTTGAGAGCCCTTTAAGCTGCAAATATTTACTGAATTCATAAAATTCTGAAGCATATCAGTCAACTAATTTTTCGATTTTCTGAAACAAT